AGTAACAACTTCCTTTTCAGTTTCTTCCTCTAGGGCTCTCCCATGTGCCAATGGACTAGGTTCCTTCAACTCCTTTCCAATTCTTAACGTGATTGCACTAACATTTTGCTTTGAATTAACAATGGTTTGTGAAGGTAACTTACCTTGGGATTCCAACCGACTCACGGAGGATGTCAATTGACTCACTTGATTTTCTAAATTTTGCATGCTCGTTCTTGTCTCTTGCTGAAATTGTTGTGTATTAGTTGCAAGTGATTTTACAATTTCTTCTAGGGACATACATGGCTTTGAAGAAGACTGCTCAGGTGGAAAACGTTGAAATTGTGATGGTCTTGGTCCATAGCTAAGGTTATGATGATCCCTCCATCCTGGATTATAGGTATTTAAGTAGGGATCATATTTCCTTTGTGGAGAATCGGGAAACCTTCCAACTGCATTGGCGTACTCACGAGAATCATCTTGAAGTGTAGGGCATATGTCAGTTGGGTGACCAATCGTAGCACATATCCCACAAGCTTTCACTTGCTGCGTTTTTCCTACAACTAGTTGTTGAACAAGGGAGGTGAGATGCGATAATTGATGTTCAATGGAGGACAAACCTACCTCATTCACCCTTCTTGAAGATGTATCTTGCCTAAAGCCAAATTGTTGTGAATTGGCGGCCATGATGGAGATTAATTCCCTAGCATCGTGAGGAGTTTTATTCATTATGGCACCTCCACTGGCTGCATCTATCATATTCCTCTCCATCGGTAGTAGTCCTTCATAGAAATATCGGATGAGAAGTTGCTCAGAAATCCCATTTTGAGGGCAGTTGGCACACAGTCATTTGAATCGTTCCCAATACTCGTGAAGGGTCTCAGTATCTTTTTGTTTTATTCCACATATCTCCCTTCGAATGCCAGCGGCTCTTGAAGCAGGAAAAAATTTATCAAGAAACAACCTCACCATATCGGCCCAAGTAGTCACAAAACCAAGAGGTAAATAGAAGAACCAATATTTAGCTCTATCGGCTAGCGAGAATGGAAAAGTGCGCAGTTTTACCTGCTCTTCGGTCACTCCTTGCGGTCTCATACTTGAACATACCACATGAAATTCCTTCAAATGCTTGTGAGGATCTTCATTCTCAAGTCCATGAAAAGTAGGCAACAAATGAATCAAACCAGATTTTAATTCAAAAGCTACCTCCAAAGTTGGGTAGTCAATGCAGAGCGGTTGTTGATTCACATTTGGTACAACCAATTCTCTTAGAGTTCTTTCTTCGTTGGCCATTGTTCCTTCTATTTCAGAATCGCTGGATGAATCAACCAAGTTGAATGCAGATTCCGATTCAGGGGATGCAGAATAAGAAGCTTGTTTGTTGCGCAAGTTAGTTTCTTTTCTTAACCTACGAGTGGTCTTCTCGATTTCAGGATCGAATTGGAGTTCACCTGCACGAAAAGAACGGGGCATCAAAATAAATCTAAATGACACCAATCCCCGGCAACGGCGCCAAAAATTTGGTGGGTGTCGAATCCAACAAATAATAATAATTGCTTTTAGAAATATAAATTTGTAGTAGTGATAAGCAAGGTCGAATCCATAGGGATTGGGTAGACTTATTTTAATGAAAAGTAAAGCAAATAAAAGGGGTTTTAGAATTGAGAAAAAATTAAAAAGAAAAAGCATTTAAAATCAACCAAAAATTTAGAGAGATTAATATTAAGGAAATATCCAACTAAAGGGTATAATTTCAGAATTGGTTCAAAGAATTGATCATAAATATAATGATAAAATCTTATACTTTTCACTAAATTGGTTATGGTTATTGAGAAGCTCTAACAACCTGTCTTTCCTTAGTTTCTCGATAATCAAGAGAAGCTCTTTGATTATTTCCCTAGTTAATGAACAACCCTAGACAAGCTCTTAAGATTTAATCTACCAACATCATTAATCACTAGAGGGACCACCAATTCTAGCCAACAAATACGCAAGCTCGATTCATTTAGACTAGGTTATATACGTTCATAACATAATCATAATCAACCATGTTACTTTACCACTAATATTAGAACATTTAAACAATTACGGATTTAAAGTTCTAAATGGCAATTTATCAATCTGATAATTGAACAACGTATCCTTTGCACAATCAATCAAGACAATAATTCTTAATAAAAACAGAAGATATATAAATAGCAAAGAAGTAAAAGAACAATGAAAATTATTTAGATCTCACAATCCTTGAAGAACCAAAACTTCAATTATCCTTCAGTTGGAACAAAAGTATTTAGCTACTCATAATTGAAAGAAAACTAAAAGAAAATAAAGATGAAAACTGATGTAAAACTTGATGTAAAAACTAATGAAAGCCCTAGCTCCCCTTTTATAAGGATTTTCCTATTATAGATAAGGAAGTTTCCCTTAAAGAAAATCCCACAAAAATAGGAGTTTTAAATGACCTCATCTTTTTCTAAAGATAAGAATAAATCAAAAGAGTCTTCCAGCAGTCATTAAACTCTTTTTACTTTGTAAATTCGTAGCCCTAATTTAGGGTTACATGGACTAGTAAGGCGCGCCCACGCCTTAACTGAAGACTTCTTCTGCGGTAGTTCAGGATGAGTAAGCCGTGCCCACGTCTTATGCGAAAACCTCTTCTGGTCTTGCCAACTTCTTGAATTCTGATTTTTCCTCCTTAATTTGAGGATTTTGTGAAGATCATGCTAATCATTAGATTTTGAACTTGTTTTATCCAAATCTTCAACCTAATCCACAAAATACGAAATATAATCAAAATCCATGATTTAAGCAATTTTAGTTATTCAAATATGAGGAAAATATCGTAGAATATATGTCTAATATGCATCTTGTCAATAGCACACACATCTTCTCTCGAAATAGTTCAAATGCTCCTTTTGTTAGTGGCTTTGTAAGGCCATCTGCTACTTGGTGAGAATACAAGCACATAATTGACTTGAAGTTGATTTGTTGTAACCTTTTCACGCACAAAATGTACATCCATATCAATATGTTTGGATCGTGAATGATAAACAGGATTGGTGCTTAAGGCCACAATACTAGTGTTATCACACCACACAACGGGCATGTTTCGATGTTTAATGGAAAACTCATATAACAATGAACTCTTCCACGTTACTTCTGCAGCAGCACCCGTTACACTTCGATACTCAGCTTCCATGGTAGATCTCGAAACGATTTTCTGCTTCTTAGAACACCAAATCACAGGACAGTTACCAAGAAATACTGCATGACCAGAGACTGACCTCCTGTCATCCAAGCTGCCACCCCAGTCAACATCAGCAAATGCTACAACATCTTGTGAAACACCATTGCTGAAAAAAGTTAGGCTATAGTTTAGAGTACCAACCAAATATCTGATTATTCTTTTAACAGCAACTAGATGTAATTCTCGTGGAGCATGCATGAATTGTGCTGCTCTATTGACATTGAATGCTATATCAGGTCTTGTATGTCATATATACTGATGAGTGTTTAAAATCGTTAATATTTGCTCGTTATTTCTTCGATTTTGTCGAATTATTACTGCTGAATTGGTCGTGTTATATTTGTTTTTGTACAGCTCATTGCTTTCCAGAATTTGTGACAAAACGGGCGAATTCTGCATTTTTTTTATTATTTGGTCACAGCTGGAGACATGGGCACGACTCTGGGCACGACGCGGTCTGACGTGGCAGTTTCTAGAAGGTCCAGTCAGCGGCGGTTTCTAGAAGACTTTGTCCGCACGCCTTCTGGAAGATTGACGAGCAGAGTTGCATTAGGAGACTAGTTTAAATTTGAATTTAAATTTAAAAACTATTATCTTTTGTATTATTTTATTATTATTTTTGTTTATCCTTTAGTCATTGAGAGGCTATAAATACCCACTTGGGGTAAGCCTAAAATGATCATTCGCAATACATTCTTCTTTTCTCTCTAGTTTTTATAAAAGTTTTCTCTTTTCCTTTTCAAGTTCTTTTTATTTTTCTTTATTTTCAAGTTTTATTTTTATGCTAAGTATAACTTTTGTCATGCTTAGCTAAACTTTTCATAAGCCGAGAGCTGTCGCGATGATTCAATTCCAACGGGAGAATTGAAACGGTCCCTTAATATCTTCGGAATATCTCTCTCAATCTCTGGGCTTATTTTTCAAAAATCAAAACAGTTTTCAAAATCAAAAATTGACTTTGGTCAAGAGGTTGTTGCGATTAAACGTGTGGGAGGAAGATTCGGCTTATAGAAAACAATTCGACTTCCTGGGAACACACTTGGCGAGATAGCTTCGCCAAGAGGGAATTGAGATCGGAATTGACGGTTATAGAAACAACAATCCGAGTTGGTCGCCACGAAATTAAACGGTATTTGATCTACGACAATAGATGTTGTTAGAATCAATTACCGAAGCCGGAATCAAAGATTGCCTTGGGTATTCGGTATACAATATGAGTCACAAGGATAACCCTTGTAGAAAAAGTAACCGGCGTGAATCCCGAAGAGAAAATCTTATTCGATGATCTAAAATTGAATCAAAGCGAAGCTTGATGCTACTTTTACCGTATTTATTCACAATCTTCATACTCTTATTTTTATTTAAATTATTTTTATTTATTTTTACCATTTTAATCTCATTTTACAAACCCCTTTTTACTATTTTCACCTAGTTAAAACCATTCAAACATTAAATTGTGATTTTCTAAGTCCCTGAGGATTCGACCCTTATTTCTCTATACCACGTATTTCCTTTATTTATTGATTGAGAATAAGGAATTATTTTGACATCGAAACAAAAATTGTCAAATTGACGCCGTTACCAGGGAACTTCGCCAAAGTTACTAATTTTTTGTTTGTTTTGGATTTATGACCAGGACTAATCCGGACACATCAGTGGAGTACAACGAAAACTTATCCAAACATCAGTGACCATTGGTGTAGTTTACCCAAAAAAACCTCCCCAGCTATTTCTTTTAGTTTATTCTTCTGTATTTACAGAAGGAAAAAGAGAAGATAGAGCAATTTCGGGGCCGTCGTCTTCCCTCTTCGGCAGGGTGTTTTTGGTATACAAAAATATAATAAAGGATTCACACAATCGGCGGACCTAAAGGCATCAATGCCAGCCCAGAAGCGGTCATTGCCGGGGAATCTCGACGATGAAGAAGACTCCAGTCTGCATCACCAAAGCCACACCAAGCAATCTGGGAACGAAGATGGCCAACTCGAAGAAGCTGAGGCTGACACAACCCAAATGGAGGAACAACAGCCCGAGCCGGAACAAGAACAGGAGCAACAGAAACAAGACCCCGATGAACAAGACCAACAAGCTCAACAACTCCAAGCCAAAGAAGAAGATGAAGATGGCGATGGGGATGGAGAAGACGAAGATGGTGACGTCCTTCTCTCTTTTTTTTCACACTTTTGTTTCCCGTATATAGCTCGATGCATAGGTGGAAACATATGTTTGAAGTTGATTTTGATTCCTGGGCTCTTTTTGTTTTTGTTTTGTTCTCAGATTCTGATGGGAGCCAATCTTCTACTTCTCAAGAGAAACCCGAGTACTCTTTTCCATCTCTTTCTCTGTCCATCATTTATATTTCTTAATCTATTTTAGCTTCACGATTAGCTTTCGCTCTGCTTTTATGAGTTGGGTTTGCTGCGATTTCGTTTCTTTACGACGAGCATTCTTCTTTCTTTTCGATGTTTTAGCTGTTGGAGAAAAGGATTCGAGTTTTACTTGTTGGGATTTGTGCTATTTGCTAAATGACATTGCGTTTTTGTGATATTTTCCCTCATCGTTTAATCGATTTGCATTTTGCATATCAACGATCTGTGTCCTATATATGTTCGTAACCACTTGAGGCTGGGAAATTCTGAAATCTGTTCATATTATATTCTTTATCCATCCCCGGTAAAACACTTCGACTACTCTTTACCAACTTGTAAAATACTAGCTTGAAAACACGTCCTACTATATATTCTTCCACTGTTCAAAATGTGCATGATTTGTCTTGTATAAACGCATTTTGTTTTGATTCTGGGTTCTTTTTCTTCCCCACCTAGCGTTTTTCTGAATCCCATTATGCATCTGGGTTCAACTCTTGAAAATCTAATAAAACCTTAATGAGCCAGTGTCACTAGGCTAGCTTTGTTAAGCTTTCAGTCAAAGAGTCTATGCATTGAGACTACGGAGGTGACTCTCCTAGGCTTTTGAACTGTAATTTCTTCAAAGAGTATTGCCCCGAGTAAAATACACTCTGGAGCTGGCGGGTCTGTGAACAAGAATGACAGTAAGAGCTGAGGCAGGCTAGTGAGGTTTAAAAAGTGCCGCTTTTCATCGTCTATTCTAGTTTTTGGAGGAAACAATGCTTGGGAAATGGGAACTAGCTATAATGGAGTCTGTTATTGTGGAATCTCGTTTATATACCATAATATTTGGGTCATTCTTTAGGTATGGGAACATGTCAGGATTCTCATACTAAGTTGGTTTGGGTTTGGTTCTATTTGTCTCTTCCCCTCTCTCTCTCTCTTTATATATATATATATATTGCTAGATTTACTAAAAAATAACAGCTTAATTCATTTTTTCCTCGGTCATTCTTAATACGTGATAATAAAGTAATAGTTGACACTTTGTGTTCTGATTCCCTTGCCAGTCATGCAAAGTCACATATTTACATTGATGACAGCAACACATATATCTTTCTACCGACATGCTTGCTGGGATCTTTATGCATATGGTTTATAATGTAGCTTTAATCTATTTTTTTTTGATAAGAATGACAGGCCTCCTTAAAAACCTCCTTCTTGATCAAAGAAGGAGGAAAAGAGTGCCTTAGAAACTTTATTACTCCTCCGAAATTACATAAGATTTAACGTAGACACCATACTGAAAAAACACAACAGACTAAGCTACTCAACATAACCGAAAACCTAAACTCAAACGATAAAACGCACTGGAAACGACTAAACATCAACCAATTCCCATCTTTGCTAAACTATCAGCCTCCCCATTACACACCCTTGGAATCAGTCTAATAGAGTGCACCCTGTCCGTGATAAAAGATGAAATCTCTTTAACTAATGGGAGGATAAAAACTGGGGCCATAGCTGGTGTATGGACCCATTCCACAGCCGACTTACAGTCACTTTCCACAATCAACCTTCCAACCTTAACCCAACAAGAAGACATATAGATTTCAATGCCTCTCTTAATAGCCTTTAACTCAGCAACCGGCGGGGGACCCTGACCTACATTTTCTGAAAAAGTCAGAAGGGAGTTGCTATTCCAATCTCTCAAAATACCTCCTATACCTCCATTTGAGCCATCAAGTCTAACAGCTCCATCGACATTCATCTTCAAAAAATCCATAGGGGGTGGAATCCAGCGAGAAACCTGAAAATTGTAAATGTTGAGAGCTTTAATACCATCTGCAAGAGATGGATCACCAATCAGCACATCCTCCTGAATAGGACACTTAGGATACTTGGCTAGAAACCATTTAGATAACCTGAATCTAGCAATAAAAAACAGAGACATCCTATCCAAGGGGGAACCATCGAACACCATTGCATTCCTAGCTTTCCATATCGACCAAAATACTACTCCCGGGATAAATTTCCAAATCAACGATTTCCCCCTCAGCTCACCCCAAGAACATAGCAAAGAAGGTGGATCCTTTGGAAGGACTAAGGCTATTTCCCAATAGCTTGCTATCTTGTTCCAAAGTTCCCAAACAACATCACATGAAATAAATAAATGCTGAACTGATTCCACCTGTTTTTTACAAAACGGACATAAAATTTCATCCCCTAGCTGCAAACCTCTTTTCACCAACTCCTCTCTCACTGCCACTTTCTGATGAGCTAGCTGCCACAGGAAGACTTCAACACGAGGAGGAGATAAACCCTGCCACACCCCTTTTACCCATAAATCGGACTCCCCAGACACCTTGCCGAGTTCCTTTCTACAAGATTTCACTGAAAACAGTCCATCCCCACTTGCAGACCAAGAAAGAAAGTCTTCAACTGAATCAGTCAGTTTAAAGTCCTTCAGTTTTGTCATTAAATCCAGCCACTGATCCAACTCCCAGTCACACAAATTCCTTCTGGTATCGATGTTCCACACCCAACCGTTCGAATCTGAACTTCCAAACTCAGCGACCATACCCCATTTATTTGTTGACAACGCATACATTCTAGGGAAAAGATATTTTAAAGGAGACTCATCAGCCCATGAATCCGTCCAAAATGCAATAGACTTTCCATTTCCCAGTTTCAACTTGGAGTTAGATCTGATACGTTCACCCTCCGAGTCGTTCTTCAAGAAATTGTTGGCAATCCCTCTCCAAATCCAAGAAGATTTGGGCGAAAAAACCTTACAAATAGACATGGAATTACTACTTACCTTGTGCCTGCAACATAACACACTTTTCCACAAAGTATTTTTTTCATTGGCGAACTTCCACACCCATTTTCCCAAAAGAGCCCGATTAGATATGTTCACATCAAGAACACCAAGGCCACCACAATTTAGAGGCGTGCAGACTGATTTCCAATTAACCCAGTGTATCTTCCTTTTGTCCTCATTATCCCCCCATAGGAAACTGGCCATTAAAGAATTAAGCTTCTTACCAATTTTACAAGGCATTCTAAAAAGAGATAAGAAGAATATTGGTAGGGATGTTAACACCGACTTTAATAAAACTGTCCTGCCCGCCAATGAGAGACAATTAGCTTTCCAGCCGGCTAGTTTGGAACTAAAATTCTTGAAAACTGGATCCCATAAGGCTTCTGAGTTTTTCTTAGCACCTAGAGGAAGTCCCAAGTAATCTGTTGGAAGAGAATCAATAGAGCAGCCCACCGAAGATGCCCATTCTGATAAAACTTCCTCTTCCACATTAATACCAAATAGCTTACTCTTAGCTAGATTAAGATGCAACCCTGTCATAACACTAAAAATCCTCAATACTCTCTTGACATTTTTAATCTGGGAGAGAGATGCTTGACAGAAGATGATCAAGTCATCTGCAAATTGTAGATGTGTCAATCGAACAGAATTTTCAGATTCCCCAATAACAAAGCCTTGAAACAGACCCCTGTCCACTGCTTTAGATATCATCAAATTAAGCAGCTCACCTACAATGTTAAACAGTAGCGGTGATAAACTGCACCCTTGCCTAAGTCCTTTGGCCATGTGGAACTCTTCCGATGGAGACCCGTTTACGAGAACTGAGATTGAAGCTGTTGAAATACACTGAGATATCCACGACAACCATCTCTTACCAAAACCCATCTCTGACATTATTCTAATTAAAATTGGCCATTCCACGGAATCATAAGCCCTACGAAAATCTACTTTGAAGGCAACCCCTTTTAACCCTTTTTTCCTCCAGTAATCAATCCCTTCGTTTGCTATAAAAGCACAATCCAGCAACTGTCTCCCTGGTATAAACGCAAACTGAGAGTGACTAATAATATCACCAACACAACAACTCAGTCTCTTCGAAAGAACTTTAGAAAGTATCTTGTATAAGCTGCCTACAAGGCTGATTGGTCTAAATTCCTCTACACTGTCCGGATTAAGCTTCTTCGGAATAAGTGTGATAAAAGCATGGTTTATACCGTGCTCCCATTTCCTTCCAAAATAGAAATCTTCAAAAAATTTCAACACGTGCTCCTTTAAAATCGGCCAGCAGTTTTTAAAGAAACCCATGGTGAAACCATCTGGTCCTGGAGCTTTAGAGCTGTCTGATGAGACTATAGCTTGCCAAATTTCCTGTTCTAAGAAGTGCTCTTCAAGCTTCTTAGACTGATCCCCTGATAGCTTAGCAAAATCCAGTAGTAAATCCTCCGTTTCCAATGTTGAATTGGAATTATAGGCTGCCTTGAAAAATTCTGAAATATGTACCTTTAATTGTTGAGGATCTGAAACCACACTCCCATTTATCTTCAAGCTTAAGATTTCATTTCTTTTGCTTCTGTTCAGAGCAGACAGATGAAAAAACCTTGTGTTCCTATCCCCCTCCTTGATCCATCTTGCCCTTGACTTCTGAAACCAGATGCTTTCTTCTGTCCTATACAACCTCCATAGATTTGTCCTACACAGCCTCAACTGATCCCACTCCTGCTTCGAAAGAATTCCACCTTGAGCTTTAAGATCCAATTCATTAATTTTCCTCTCTAAATCAGAAATCGACTCAGGGATCCCAGTAAATTTACTGCTGGACCAATTTCTGATTGAATTTTTAGTACCTTTTAAGATACTGAAAATACCCCTTTTATTATTTCTCCCCTCATAGCAAGCATTGAAGATTTAACCAATTCCTCAAATCCTTCCTCCTCTAGTAAATAATTAAAAAACCTGAATGGTTTCGGTCCCCAATTAACAGCTTTGTCCTCTAATGAGACAGGATTATGATCAGATAGGGATTTAGGCAAGAGACTTTGCACTACATTTGGAAAACATGACAGAAACGTCCCAGAGATTAAGAACCTGTCTAGTCTTTCCCAAGTCGAGTCTTCTCTATTATTGCACCAAGTATACCTTCCTCCCACCAACGGTAGATCAATTAAATGTGATTGCTGTAAGAAGTTTCTAAATAAATCAATAGAATGCCAGTTTTGTGATTTTCCCATCTTCTCGTCCGGATCAAGATACACATTAAAATCTCCCCCAATACACACTAACATATTTTGAGCCGAAACAAACTCCAACAATTCCCTGAAAAAATCTTCCTTTTCTGCTTCAATTGATGGACCGTATACATTGATAATCAGACACTCTTCACTTGAATTTCTGAACTTCCCAAAGACTGCTATGAATCTGCCATTAAGATGGGTGTTCGAAACTTCAAAATCATTTTCATTCCACATAATCATCAATCCACCAGCAGATCCCACTGCTGGCGCAACAATCCCTCCTCTAAGGAATCTCCCCCCTATCCTTCTTCTAAGAGCCAAAGAAACAGATTCTAGTTTTGTTTCTTGAATTAGAATCAAGTTCGGCTTATTCTTCTTCACCAAATTAGCTACCACTCTTGACTTTTCCTTTTTTCCAAGACCCCTTACATTCCAAGAAATAATGTTGACATTTATCATATCAAGAAGATCTACACCAAATCCTTATAGCTAGTCTCCAGAGAAATAGAGACTAAACCCCTGACTTCCCCTGTTCCCTACTCTCAGCCGAACCCTCTTCAAGGTTGATAATTTTGTCCAAAAAAGCCTTCTTCCCATCTTTGAAAGAAATTCCTAGAACTTTACATACTTCCCATGTAACCATCGCTTCCTCAACCGCCTTCGAGAACTGAGGAGTAAAAACTAAAGGAGAATTAACCATATCAACTGCTTCCCTTGTTAAAACTCTTCTCTCCCTTCTTTTAGACCTTTCTGACCCTACAGCAGAGAAAGGAACTACTGCCAAGACCTCCGAAGAACTATTACAATTAGTTGGTGCCACATAAGGGTTCTGATCATCAGCTGCACCATTTAAAATCACTTCCCTTCCACCTTCCATATTTATTGAAGGAGGCTGCAAATCCTTTCTCACCGGAATACCTTTGTGTTTATTCTCAAACCAGTTAATTCTCACCCTCGACCTGGTATAATGTCTTTTATAGCTGGCCATTCTCCTCCTCTCTATGGGCAAACTTTTGGGCCAAAATGTTCTTCTATGCTGGAACAACGATCTGTCTCTATCCCTAATCAGTTCAGTTCCAACCCCCCTACAATCGTCCTTTTCCAAGACTACTACTTCCTCTAACAGATCCTTATTTGGCTTATTTGAGATCCCTTCAGATTGAGACTGTACTCTATTGAACCCACCCTCAATCGAAATATGTTTGTAACCTGACAAATCAGTATTCGAATTCTGCATTTTTGAGTCTACCAAAACAGAATGCTGAAACTCTCCTTGAACCTCCATCCTACTTAATTTAACATCATGCCCCCTGGAATTAGATTATTAGCTGGTGAATCATACTCCCTGTTAGATTGTGAAGACCCAGCAGGCAACAAATTTGGATTTAAGTCTGCCGAGACATTAGCCCAATTCTGCACCTTTATTTTATCTGAATCAGATTGCTGCTGAGAACCTGCAAATTCCACCCGAGACTCCAAACGGTTACCATATCCCAGTTTTAATAAATTAACAGCTGGCCCAGAAGGTACTATTCTGTAGATATTTGTATTGGACTCACTTGAGCCCTCTAAATGGGCTTCTTCAAATTCATTAATAGAGACATTCCTTAGACCAAGGCCCCTATAGTCCTCTTTAAAATTCAAATCTTCTGCAGAAAAACCTGACACCTTAGCACCACTAGGTTGACTTTCTCCTTCCTGCAGTATTAAATGTTTACTTCCACTGCCTCCTGCCACTGTTGTGCAGACATCACCTACCAACCATCTGTCTACTGTGTCCCTAGAATTCTCAGCTGGCAATTGTGGGCTACCTACTCCACCTGAACTCCGGACTTCTTTCTCTTCCGATGAAGAATCAACTCTAGACACACCATCTCCGGCCACCTGAAGAATTTCTGCAAAAAAACTCTCCTGTTTATAACTGACCGATCCCACACTAATCTTAACCTTATACGATCTCCCATATGCACCCAAGGTAACAGAATCCTGTATATCATAAGGACTCGCCACCCTCAACAAAGCTCTTGCCACCGCCAAATCCTCTCTTCTGATCGTGGACTCATGAATACACACCAATTTCCCCCACCTTGAGACCAGCTTTTCCAAAAAAGATCCATTACAACATAGTAAAGGGATTCCATGCAACTCCACTGAACAGAAAGCCATCGGGACTCCATCTACACTCATAAGTGGATCAAGCCAGTCGAACCAAAGTGACACTTCATCCCTTCTGTTTTTCCACGCCTCCTCGAACTCTTCCTTCGACCCAAAGGTTATAATGCAAGAGTTCCAGGTATAACCCCATTTAGTTCCCTTGACCTTGATCCCTTTACTAGCCAACCCCTTCACTACTGTCCCCAGATCAAAATGGGATTTAATGATCCCAGTTATTGATCTTTTCACCCAATCATATTCGTCTGGGGGAATATGCATTTCCCACAAATTCCTCACCCCTACTTCCTTGTCTTTATGGCCTTCCCAAATCACTTTAGACGCCGGACCTTCTCTCCTTCCATCCAAAGACGCTAACGCCTCCTTGTAAGATCTCTCATCTCTCAGTCGGCTATAAGATTCTGGTCCAGCTCTTCTACTCCGATGCGTATCCTTTTCCCACTTATCAACTTCCTTACTGTCGTTACTTCTAACAGCCTGCTTTAGTCTCTTCTTCTGGTACTTAGCAACTCCTACTGATATTTTCTTACCATCAATCCAGATACCATTAATTTTTGCTATCGCCCTCAACAACCCATCCTCATTAGCAAACTGGACGAAAGCAAACGTATAATTTCTATAATTCGGCTTGTTGGAATTATTCGGAATGTAGACACGAACAACACTCCCCTGTTGATGAAAAATTTCCTTAAGAGTTTTCCTAGTTACCCTTTTACTCAGATTGTCAACGAAAACCGTCCACTCCTCACCGGAAAACTGACCAACTGAAAACCTCTCTCTCTCTCCCACTTTCTCCCTGACACTCTCTCTCATCTTAGACTAATGGTGTTTATGACAAAAAAAAAAAATGTAGCTTTAATCTATAAATGACATGATAGAAAGTTCTATTTACATTTCTATGTTCGAATTCCAGATATGTCTTCGTAGAGCTTCCAGAAATTCGTAAAGATGTTCAATGCCCAATTTGTTTAGGTGATACTTCAATTTGTTACCATTCTATACTTTGCTCCTACAATTTCCGTTGAATATCTGTGATTAGGGGTTTAGATATATGAATCAGTGGTTGTAATATATATTTTTATGATCAACTCCTGTTTGGTTACAGACACTGGAGGTTAAACCCATCACCTTTTCTTTATTATGAGCATATATTGTTGATTATTTTTTTGTCTTTGGAAAATCCTATATATATATATATTGATAAAAATAAGAGGCCTCATTAAAAAACCCTTCATAACCTTCAAACTACGGAAGTAACTTAAAAGACATGAGAAGAAGAAAAAGAGTGCCTCAAAATTTATTTAAATAATACTAAATACAATACAACAATCAGTCAGAACACACCTCAACCCAAAACTAACCAACCATACAAACCCACACTTAAACAACCAGCAACACCCATAACCTAACAAAATTGCCTAGCCACAAAAACACAGGAATCACCCAATTCCTACTTTAGCCAACCCATCCGCCTCCCAATTGACGGATCTCAAATTATGCCTAACAATAATATCCTATTCTATCACAACAACAACAATATCTTTCACCAATGACTCGAACAACAAAGGATATCATAATCCCTGAAATAAAAATCCAAATCGTCGAGCGCGGAACTATATCTGCCCAAATAGAGATCAAAGCAGTCGGACTCTCCGGAACAACAAAGGAGACGTTCCAAAAGTGCAAAAATCTAGACCATAATCCCTAAACCACATCACAATGGACAAATAAGTGAGAAACAGACTCTGAGAACCTGCCACACAACGGACAAAGTGAATCCACGATCCCTGCGACTCCATGCTTCAACAACTCTTCTTCAACTGCTAATCTTTGATGGACGACCAGCCAGACGAAAGTTTCCACCCGAGGCGGGGCTACCCCTAACCAAACGTTTCTAACCCAAATTGGATTAGCAGCCGATGTATCAAAAAATTTCCTTCCCTGTCCAAACCCAGCAGTCCGCCGCCAAAGGCGACACTAAGAAATTACTCAGCAATGAATTGAGCACGAGCCATTGGTCCAACTCCCAATCGGCCATGTTCCTTCTCATTTGTAGGTCCCAAACCCATCCTGACAAAGTGTTTTCCCTAAAATCAGCTACTCTGCCCCCTTTGTTAACCGAGAGAGCGAATAACCTCGGAAATCGATCCTTTAATGGAATCGAATCCAACCAAATGTCATGCCAAAACAAAACAAACTCTCCATTACCGACTCTTAATTGCATATTATTCTAATACATTCTCCAAAATCGTCACTTGAATAGAAATTCTTTACCACCATTTTCCAAATCCACGAAGCACGATAGAAAATCGAACTATCTACCATAATTGCATTCGGATCCAAATTATTAAAACAACATATAACCCTTTTCCACTACGAATCTTTTTCACAGGCAAATTTCCACAACCATTTTCCCAAGAGAGCTCTATTTAATAGGTCATATTAGGAATTCCTAAACCCCCAAGTTCTTAGGCCTACACACCGAAGCCCAATTTACCCGATGAATGTTTCTATTGTATGTCGAGTCCCCCAAAGAAAAGCTGTCATTATGGAGTTTTAGTTATATTGTCTGAAATTGATATCTTCTTTAGTTGGTTTTGTACAAATTAAATGTTCTCCCTCTTTCTAGCTTGTGCTGAAGGCATGATCAGGTTTGTCTTATAGAAAATGAATTGTCAGTACAAAAGAACTGTTAATATGAGTGTGTTCTATAAAGGAATATGAAGTTTAATTTTACATAACCAACTTCCTAAGTAATAATTCTTTTAGTTTGATTTCCAAATGGTAGATCCTACCAGGCCCTTTTCTTAAAACATCTCTGGTGGATATTCTATTTGGTGTAATGTTCATTTTGTTTTGTCATGACAATTGCTCGAGTTGAAAAGTCATCTTCACCGTTGTGCTTAATGGTGTTAGAAGTTTAGTACAAAATCATAAATTTAATAAAAACTTATGATTGCACTAGGACCCATAAGTAATATGGAAAACCAAGGCGAGTTTGTATATTTGGATGCTCCTTGAAAGATCTCAAGTTGAGAAGATAGGGAAAAGGATAATCAAAGATTGTTGATTTTGCGATATCTGAATTTTCAGGTGATTTTCATTTGATTATTTGGTAGAGGTTTTGATGTTATGTAAATCTTAATTTTACAACTGTTTTTAATGAATTGGGAGGAAGGTATTATTTAATAAATGCAGATAAGTTAGATAATGTGAGCATGTGTTAGAAAAATTCTTATCAATTAGGGGATTTTACGCTATAAATTCTAGCCGGGAAGGTGTAATATGTCCATAAACAGATATTAGTTAAATTTAGATAAATGGATTAGCATGTTTTCTCTGAAGTAAAAACCACTAAAGAGTAATATTATAGTATTTGTATTCACACATTGAATGGAATGTGCTGCTTTTACTTTTTTCATGGAGAGACATACTGGATAAAAGGCATTTGCTATGTTTGATTGCATTAGGTAATGTTATGCTTGTTAGTCTTTTAATCTTTCTTGCCCTGCTGATCTGAGGTCAGCATTAATGCTGTTGGTTTATTTCTTGAGTTCTTTGCATTGTTAGGTAGCACTAGCGTTTATTGCTTTCTGTGTACAGGAATCATAAAGAAAACAAGAACTGTAATGGAATGCCTACACCGTTTTTGCAGAGAATGCATTGACAAATCAATGCGACTGGGGTATGTTATAAGTGGACTGCTACTAACTTGCCTCTGTTTGGGTTAGTTTTGTAAATTTCTGGAATTTTTTGGTTCTGATTATAGGAACAATGAGTGTCCTGCTTGCCGTACGCATTGTGCTAGTCGGCGTTCTCTAAGAGATGATCCAAACTATGATGCCTTAATTGCAGCTTTATATCCGGATATTGATAAGTATGAAGAACAGGTATAAGTTCTTTCCTTTCTCCTCTTTGTTTTTTTTTTCCCAATACATGATGCTATTATAAAATTTCTTACAGCATGATCTGGCTAATCAATGCTGATTTTCTGCATTTGGACTCTCAGGAATTGGCTTTTCACGAAGAGGAAAGGACTCGCAATAAGCAGGTCATATATATATTTGTATATATATAGTTTTTGTTCCTGAATGCATTTATTTCTCTCTGCTGTACCTGCTCATTGTTAATGTGGTGATTTGTGTTCATTAACCTGCCTTAAAACATGGAACCTGACTCTTTCCAAGGTTACTTGTATGTTTGTGTGTGTGCATATATATATATATATATATAGTACAATAGTAATGAACTTTTCAAAGTAATTATCACAGTGAAAGAAAATGTATGCTACAGTGCCATTTATATAATTATGCTGTCGTCTTTTTGATTTTGGTGCGATCCATAATCAAAATGGAAGAACTCTACTTCTCATTTCATATATGTGAGGTGCTAAAACTTATCCTAAATGATTACTTGGTACTCTTTTATTCCCTATCCAATTTTAAGTTCTAAGAATATCATTAGATTATGTTATAAGGTCAAGACCTTAACACATTTTTTTCCTCATCAATGGTCGTTTCTGTATTTTATATTAGATCCAAGCATCAATTGCCCAAGTTTTACAGAGACAATCAGAAGCACTCGTTAAACGGCGTAGTCTTCGAAAAGAGAGCAGTGCAGGTGGGTTTATTACTAGATCACAACGCCATCATCTGAGTAGTCATCCTCGTAGACGACGGAACTCCAGCGGAGCTGAGCATCAAGGATCTGAAGACAATGAAAATGATGATAATGGAGGCAAAGATTCATCTTCCACAGATGAGCGATGTACAGAAGTGAGGCAGAGAAGGCGCAAAAGACGGACTGGAATCCGGATGTCGCTGCCTTCTTCATCAGCGGTAAACTCAGATGGTGGATATGTTCAAAATGATGCAGAAGTGTCTAGAGACTGCCGGGGCATTTCTCCTGGGCTTGTCTGGAACCCGGATTTGCTTGCTTGGGGGAGAGGTGGTGCTCGGAGTCACACTCGACATGGAAATTCTGGAAGTGGCAGTAGCAAGAGTTCTCGTGCTCGCTTAAATAGATTGGTAGAGTATCTTAGGAGCTTGGAGGAAAACGATGCTGAGGTATGATAGGATGATACTAGGAGACTCTCCATAATAATATGGTTTCTAATCCAGTCTATCACTGATATTAAGCTCCGATTATTAGTATAGCTTTATGGTGGTTCTTATCTAATTTACGGATTCCACTGTGTAATACTGTAGGATTCTTCTCTCCATGCTCTCTGCTCTCCTGGCCCCTTTTTTCTTTTGGTTTTTCCCTTCTATTCCCATTTTGTATGCAGGTCCTCGTTTTTGTGTAATTAAAGCCTATTCTTTGCGTGCAGTTGGATGTTCATCTCAAGCTTATTTCGGTGGACGAACACAGCACATCAAGTTTGCACCAACCCTACCTTTGTTGTCGGCCCAGTCTGTCTGTTAAGCAGCTATACGAAGTGAGATTTCTTTCCCACCAGCTTAAACATAGAATGTCTCTTTCTAAAGCTATGACAAATTTGAAGGGCCTCGACATTTGGCTTGAATGGGTATAATGCATTAAAATGATGATTTCGGTTTTACCAAAATCTAGCCAGTCACCTTGATACATAGTGTTTGGCCCATGTGGTTAAGTTTTGGGGTTGATTCTGATGCGTAAACTCATTAATTTTCAAACATATATTCTATGCATGAACTCATTTCCCCCTTTATAAAATCAGATTTTATCATATTTTGTTTTCGCCTTCAGGACAAACTTTTATAGGATTATTGTCTAAAATCATGATTGTTTGGTGAACAGTACATTGCTCTTCAGACACCATTGCGAGCTGAAGAAGTAGAAATATTAATGGTAAAGGGACCATATCGAACCAATGAAAACTGCGCCAACCTCTCGGAGGACGCACTTCAAGTCTTGGAAGGTCAAGAAACTTTGGCAGGGCTTAAGGTCAAGCGGACTTCCGGAATGAATCATTTGGTGAGTATATATCTTTGCATTTGGCATCTCTATTCTTCTCGGAATATCCTGCGATGTTACAGTCTTGAATCAAGAGTTCACAACCATACTTTTGTTTCAGATATTAGCATATCGGCAGAGGCAAAGCAGCTAAGCACAATTGCGGCATTGTCGAAAACAACAGCTCTACAAGACAGAGGTTGTTGACAGTTGCCTCTGATAATTTAAAGTTGAATTTTGTATGTACATACACGGATTTGGCAGGTGTTTGGTGGCTTGATGAAACCATTGGTTAGTTGGCTTCTAGGTGATGTAATATTTAGGACATTAGACTCGGGATTTTCGAGGATGCTATCAAGAACTCAACTGTTTGGCTTTTACTTGGTAGGACTGGATGGATAGGGTGTTATAACATGCATCAGTTTTTTGTTCTTCGAAATAACATATATTTTCTTTTCTTTAGTGTGTTTGGTAAGAAAACGTAAATTTTCTTCAAATTTTTAATTATTAAATTTTTGCAGTTAAAATTTTGCCCATCACTTTGCCATTTGTCTACCTCAATTGTCCTTGCAGTTTCTTGAATAGTTCGACGACAGTCTAGATTGCGACTGTAAGAAATCGAAAGTAGCTCCTGACCCCAACGACCTTCTCGAAGAGTTTGGTGAATCCGATAGAAAAGGCTCAAAAACCGAGCTTCTGCTCTTTGGTTGATTAATCGACAAGGGAGAAACTTCTTTCTCGGTCGATCTTGGTTGTGGCTAGATATTGCCTAGAGTTAGAATCGGCTCGCCCATTCGTTCAGCCTGCTGAAGTGTATTGATTTTACTTGGTCTGTATGTATACCGGAAGTATTTCAAGGCTAGAACCGGACCCATCCCTGCTGCAGCTATGAGCTGTTTTAAGATTAACAAAGAAAAACAACAAAACAGGATTCATATATAAAACCCATACTACTGATAAACCGACAAGCGGAGGAAAGAAACTCAGATAACCTAACTAATTAAACAGGAGAAAGACGAAGGAAGTTGTACTTATCAAAATGATTACTTTAGAGTAAATTGCCAATTAAAAAATTGTCTCCTCCCTTTTCAATTTAATTTTTAAATAAAATAATTATTTTAATTTCTTTAAATATTTTAACCTTTAATGTTTTATTTTAAGGGTAAAATGCTCATGGTTAGATAAAATCACTAATTTATTATTATTTACTAATAGTTTGCAATTATATAAACAGAGTGGAAACAATACAAGTTTAAAAAAATATAGTTACAATACAAAAAAAATAGTTACAATACATAATATTTTTTAACGCCTATTTTAGTGTCCAGCTCGATATTTTGGAAGATGTGGACAATGTTTTTCCGACGTTGTTTGCAGAGTACGGTACATGTGATTAGGGGGTATGTAATTGTATTTTGTTATATATATATGAGTCTGAAAATCTGTTTTATTTCTGCATACTGATAAATGATTTTATAAGTTTACATGTTATGATAAAAAGTTTTAAATTTTCCGCTATTTTTACAGTGAGTCGCTCCGGTGGCCCTAATGTGACACTCCAGATCGGATCGGGTTATCCGCATTGGTCTGGGAGGTTACATATACACCGTACGAAATAAGTCTTTTGATCCGACTCTGCGACATAGAATTAAAGCTGAGCTTTGATGCAATACTCCTTGATTGCTAGTTGTGCCTCTTTTTTTGTTTCAAACTGAGACCCAATGGCCAACTCAAATGACTGCTCGTCTGAAGAACCCCAGTGGGCAACACATAAATCTGGCATAACATATATTTAGGATTCCACTTAGCATCGTAGTTAATGTCATGCATTGCAACTGCATAATGATACCGAGGAAAATTATAGCGAGGTATTTCAAGTTGAGGGTTTATTTTTGCCCAAACATTTGGAGCATTCTATAACCCTTGACATCTTGAAAGAGTTGCCTCCTGTAACACCCCAACCCGTATCCGACCCGGATACGAATCCGAGGTGTCACATTGACCTTTTAAAACATGTACTTGTATAAAATAGTGAGTAATTTAAAACTTTTATAACATATAAATGACTAATTTACATAAAAGACATTTTCATTATTACAAAACCAATCAGAGCGTGTATATTTCACTTATTTATTTACATATAACTATTCGAAACATTTATAAAACTGTTCATAGCTTAAACAATATATTCTTTAGAAAACATGCCAAATAGAACTTTATATACTAAAATACATATTATTCACCTCTTTTCTGATCTGACCTTTAGTAAGGAGAACTGACCTGTCTTGCTCCACATTGCTCTTTACTCTTCTCGAAACCTACGTGTAAATCACTTACACGCTAAGTCAAAGACTTAGTGAGGCATATAAACATATAAGGTAAACGGTAACTAATAATCATACCTAAACAATTACTACTATCATTTCATATCACTCATACTTTTACATGTAACGAATATATGCATACATATATGTCATTATCATTCATATCTCTTATCTCATGTTCCTATGATCTCTTATGTCCATATCATATAACATATACCATAACCAATTGCACATATACATATCATGTCATGTAAACCATATATATATACTATCATAAAACACGTACACCCAAGCAACTATATTATCATCTTCATTTCTTTCTTATTTTATCATTATCATTGATTCCTTTCATCATATGGTCTTATAAGTTACCATTTGTACAATCAATATCACACATGAAATTCTACAAGGAAACAAACATATTATCATATCACTTTATTAATATTATCTATTCAATAGCCCATGATACACATGTGAGAACTAAAGATATGCGAGTACATAGAGGTTGTGCACTAATGCTGTCACCACAGCTCATATAATTGCACCGAAGTGCCACGTATAATTGCACCGGAGTGCCGCGTAGAATTGCACCGTAGTGCCATATAATAATGTCCATAAGGACCACATATCATTCTTTAAGAATCATATACATATACTAGAGATCAAGTATGTGTCTCACCAGACTTCACACATGTTCCAAAGAATACATATATGTCCCGAAGGACCACATATCATTCCTTAAGAATCATATACATATGCCAAGGATCAAGTATGCGTCTCACCAGACTTCACACATGTTCCAAAGAATACATATATGTCCCGAAGGACCACATAGACCCTCGACTCTTGGCATGCCAACTATACCCCTAGCTCTCATTACACATAACCTCTAAATTCCATCTTTCATATGGAAATCAATAATCATACCCAATTTTCCATGTTATCCAAACTTAATTCTAACACTTCTAACTTCTTATTCTTATAGATAACAAGTCAAATTCATCCTCCAAATTCATTTAAACCTTCTTATTCAAAATTTCACTTAAAAACCCATTTTCTTTAATCTCTTCTAACCTCTTCATCTTTGAGTTTTCACTTATCTTTAGACTTCTTTAAGCTTTCTTACTTTCCAAAGAATCAAAACAAACTTAGAATTCAAATAATAATCAACTAATAAAAATTCTCACCTTTGCTCTTGGCTTCCACACGTGAAGAAGAAAACTCTGGAAACTCATTTCCCTCATTTCCCACGTTTTTATATCCCCTAAAAGAGAAATAAAAATCTTCTCTTAGAAAAGACCATAATACCCTTATTACTTTCAAACTTTACTATTAAATCCAACCTCAAAATTCTCCAATTAAAATTCTGAACTTTTAACTTATTTCGAAATTGAACACAACGCTTTCAAAATTCACCTTTAGGTCACTAGCCTGATATTGAGGATGCTACACCTCCCATACATCAGCTTCAACATCCACACCTTGTACCTCTGAAGCAGCCTCAAAAACATCGGACTCATCAGCTAATGGTGTGTCGTCATCGTCTACCAAAGGAACAATATCTTCATCATCTTCGCTAAATTCAGCAAGACTTTCTCCGAACCGTCCAACAAGGTTATCATCACCATCACTTGTATGTGGTTCAGAGGGGCCTGCTTATTTTGTTCTTCGAGATGGTACAGATGAGGTCGAAACATTAGTTGTATTCATGGTTTCGACGTACATCTCCAACATATTATTATTTGATGATTGATTAAGTCCAACCATAACAGCAACATCGTCATCATCATCAAGCTAGACTTTTCCATATGTCATTGGATTTGAGGAGATCAAGTGCCGATAACCTAAACATGAAACAAAAGCCTCAAGTTTTCTCTCAATTTTTTGCTTCATTTGGCGATGAGATACATCTACAGGAAACATCATATTGATGGGATTGTGTTACTTAAACACAACACCAACATCAGTTTGTAGAATTTCGCCATTATAATAGACAACTGTGAAGAATTTGTTGCTCATTGTTTGAAATGTATTTGGTTAGAAGAAAGGAGTTTGTTGTGTAAGAGATTGAAGATGAAAGGAGTGTGTTGTGTAAGAGATGAAATGAGTGTGTTATGTACGAGTTCCATTGATTTTTTTAAAAAAATTTGATCGTTCAACAATAGTCAATCCAACAATCTAAACTTTCAAATTTTTAACTGTTGGAACTCGTCACACCGGCATGATGAGTTCCTTCACCATTAAAATAATATATATTTTTAAACAATGTTTTTAAAATTTTCAAAAAAATATTTTTTATTGGGACTCATCAGGTTTGTGGGACCCACGTGACACAGACCATTAAAAAATATATCCCATGAAACTCGTCATGCCTGCATGACGAGTTCTATGAACACTGTAGCATTTGTCGTCATAATATTTGCCCAATTCTACCAACAATCCCCACTTCAAATTTGTTTAATTTTTTCAAAAGAAAAAAAACTTTATCTCCCAATCTAGTGGGCTTAGTATTTTTGACGTCATAATATTAAATAATAAAATATCAAATAAATTTTAATTAATTGACATTAGTATTAACCAGGCAATTTAAAGGATGTGAATATAATTTTAGAATTACAATTCTCTAATACATCCCAATAATAAAATGATCGGTATTAACCATTGAATTAATTTTTTTTGTTACCCTCCAGTTTTAAAGTTTTATCTTGACTAATTTAGACCGACTCGAGTTGCACATCTGGTTTTGGTGGATAAGTCTCTTAATATGAATTTTATACATACACAAGAACTCAAACTTGAGATCTTGCTTAAGCGATATCAAGATGCTTACCACTTGAACCAATCTTGTTGGTTATTAATTTAATATTTTAAATATTAATAAGATTAACCTACTGTGTATATCAAATTTCTTCGACAAATTATTCAACAAAATGATTTTTATCGTTTTGGGTTGTAATATGTAAATATAATTTAAAATATTAAAATAACACAACAAAAGCGAGTTTAAATAATAATAAGCTCCAGCCATGAGTTATCACGGTTAGGGATGGACATGATTTAGGTCAAATTTTCTGTCAATTCGACTTGATTTA